AAACTCAGTCTCATTTAAAATAATTTTGTGTGGGATATCATCAGGCATAACTTCTTTTAACATTAAGAGACTACGCTCAAACTGCCATGGACCTCCTTCCAGCACACACATCATATCAAAACGATATTAAAAGTAAATAGATACCTCTTTTCACCAATTTCTTTTACTGACATACCCTTCCCCGGCCTATAAAGTGAGAGCATCATCTCTTTCAATTCTGGAAATTTGACCTTACGGTCCGTAAGCACCTGACCAATCACCGGAAAATCTGCCGCAGCCACCTCCTCCGGAACTCCCTCATCCTCAACCTCATCAAGGTTCAACTCTTCCTCATCAGCCATGACCGCCTATTGTTTATACCGATCAACAAAGTTTTCCATGCTCCAAATCTAAACCTCCGTCGTCGCACTGCTGCTGGAAACCGCCTCAGAAGCTCTACGCTATTGGAACTGCACCGTCCTCCTAGCCTGATCGCCGAACTCGCCCCTTCCCTTGCTTCTGAAACCGAAATAAATAGTCAAAACCACCTCCTTCCCCACCAATCCGATTGTCCACAATCCTGACTCCAACAACACCGCCCAAATCACCCAACCAACACGCCCTTCGATAGCCTCGAAGGCGGACGAAAAAAAGTAGGGGTTGCGTGAGGCAACCCTAGAGAGAGAGAAAATTTGGTCCTTGAACTATTAAATCTATCATTTTAATCCTTAATCTATTTAATCTATATTAATTGAGTCCTTCCGTTAAAATTTTCCATTAACATTAATGATAGGTGCTTTATTAACATCTCATAATTTTAAACATTTTAGAACAATGGAATTATTCTTAAAATTTAAGTAGCTAATCTATTTTTTTTAAATATACATATATACACATACACGAATAAAAATTATAAAAAATAACTAAATAAATACTATAAGACCAAATGTATGGCTTGACTGACGATAAAGTAACTTAATCCCTGTTCACACCCTGATTATTTTTAGCAAATAAAATTTACATATTAAGAAATTACATTAAAACTGCTACAAAACCTGATAAAAAATGTAACTTTGATAAAAATTTGATATATAAAGTAAAAGATAAAAAATGATTTAAGTTGACCATGTGAATAGTTGACGGGAACCTTCTAATGGGACGGAGGTAGTGCGTAGTATATAATAGAGAATCATATAACTCAATTATATGCATATGAGCAAATAAAATTAAATAAGAAAACGAGGATGGTTGTTAATATTATTAATTATATTAAGAGAAAATTAATGACTAAAACTCATCCATTTTTCCAATACACGCTCTCATTAGTTTTTCCCAAAATAATATAATACTCCTTATTTAAATTCATAATATCTAATAAATAAATAAATATTTTTAATGGACTAATTTGCCCTTACATTTCTTTTTACCATAATATGCCCTTCGATTGATATTATAAAACCCTACCTTTCTACTCATATTTTAAATACTATACCCATTAACCCGTCACCGCGGCACGTGTCGTCCCCGTTGATGCGGCACCCGCTGCCCCAATCTCCGCGGCACACGCCTCCCCCGTCGCCGCGGTCGCCCCCATGCGCCTGCGTCATCTCCATAAAGTAGGAATAATGAAGAATCACACAAATTATACCAAATTTGGTATGAGGCAATTATAGTGGGATAGATCGAAAAAGAAAGATGAGACAATCTTAATGGGACAAATGACTTATACTCCCTCCGTCACGAAAACAACTTCCCGGTTGGACTTTCACACACTTTTAGGAAATAAATTTGACTTTACTGTAGAATGCACTGTTTTGCACTGTTTAAACACTGTTTGGCACTGTTTATCACTTTTTTGATGTAGATAATTTGCCAAATAAGGAAAGTATTGAAGCGTGAAGTTAATTTTGGGACATCCATTTAAGGAAAGTGGGAAGTTGTTTTCGGGACGGAGGGAGTATGATTTAAGTCATACGTTTGGTTTTATATTATATATTTTGGTGAAATATGCATATTCAAGCATATGCATATTCAAACATTAGGCATACAACTTTTAGAATTCAGAACAAGTCTGAGGCTTCATCATCATTTACATATGCATATTCAAACACAAGGCGTATAGCTTTCAGAATTCAGAAGTTCAGAACAAGCCTGAGGCTCCATCATCATTCACATATGCATATTCAAAATAAGGTATACAACTTTCAGAATTCAGGACAAGCCTGAGGCTCCAACATCATCCACATATGCATATTCAAACATAAGGCATACAACTTTCAGAGTTCAAAACAAGCATGAGGCTCCATATCATCATCATCATTCACATATGCATATTCAAACATAAGGCATACAACTTTGTCACATGTGAATTTCCATGCTCAACAGTCGATTAACACTAAAAATAAATGGGGTAATTTGAGTTTGCACCCCAAATTATTGTCTAAATTGGACTTTGCACCCCGTTTTTAAAACTCTTTGTTTTTGCCCCCCAACCCCATATGAAAAGATAGAAATGCCCCTCTTTTAACAATTTTGTTGACCTTCAACATATTCCTGATTGAGGACATTTTTGTCTTTTCATATGAGGTTGGGGTGCAAAAACAAAGATTTTTAAAACGGGGTGCAAAGTCCAATATAGATAATAATGTGGGGTGCAAACTCAAATTATCCCAAAATAAATTTCTAGAAAAGATGTAGAAGATGAATATCAATCAACAATCAATATTGTATATTTATAAAGATAAATTAGTGAATACATGATATACGTATAAAGTAGAGAGAGAGAGAGAGAAAGAAAGAGAGAGAGAATAAAATAGAGAGCTCTAAAGAATGATATACGTGCAATAGAATAATGTGTGAACTCTTGGAATAGTTTGAACCTCTACCTATATTTATAGGAGAGAGAATCAAACTTCCTATTAGAATTAGGAAACTCGCACTCCTCTCTGAATTAATTAGCTAGCCCACTTTAATTACAAAGCCCACTGATACTAATCTAATAAAAAAGATAAGAAAAAATTACACAAATATAACCACTTTAAACCCCACTAACAAAAATATGACCTCATGGCCTACCTTACTCCCATGCTGCAGAACGTGTTCCTTATTGTTAGTCAGTTTTTTGTAACTCCAAAGAATATTGGTAATAATATTTATCTAAAAAACTCAAAAGATAATTACAATTAAATTGAACACAATAAATAATGTTCTAATCGCACATTTACAATACTCAAAGTTCACATTTAAAATATGCACAATTCAGTACTCAAAATTCAGATATACAACACTTATTCAGTCAGGAATGAGGATTCGTATTTCACCAAAACTTAGTCACAAACTCACAACAATAGAGTATCAAGCATGAATTCATCAACATCATCATAGATTCATAATCACTCATCAAATGTATAATGGTATTAAACATGAATTACATCATCAACATCATCATACTATCAATTTATCAAATATTCAAATACAATCATCATCATCATCATCATCATCATCATCATCATCATCATCTATTCATCAAGGTCATTTGCTTCCTCAAATCCACAATACAATTACATCATTTATATGAATCAATTAAATCAACATTAACACTGTAACAAATAAGAAATTCTCAACAAAACCGTAGTTATAAATACTTCAGAGATGATGAGATAGACTACGATTAGGACTTAGGGAGTTAGAGTTAAGAACTTCCAAGAAACAGGGTTTCAGACTTCAAACGAACGACTTCCACCAAATAGGGTTTCATTTGATAGCTTCCACCAAATAGGATTTCAGAACATTAGATTGACCAAAACACCAAAAACAATGGCTAGAATTGTGATTGAAGAAGGTCTGAAGAGTGAAGACGGAAGAGAGAGGACAGAGCGAAGAGCCAAAGACTGATCGAAGAGGCAGATAGGGTTAGGCCGGTTAGCAGAGGTATAAGTGTGTGTGTGTGTGTGTGTGTGTGTGTGTGTGTGTGTGTGCGCGCGCGCGCGCGCGTGCGTGTGTGTGTGACGCTAAACAACGTCGTTTTGGTATTTGGGGTATTTGGGCGGATCGGGTTCAGGATTTATAAACCCTACCCACCACCCGGTACCTGCCCATAGCTGTCAAAACTTTAGATATGGGTTGTCGGTTCAGATATCCATATCCAATCAGATATTATTCGAGGGGATCAGATATATTGGGTCGGGTTTTGCTTAGTCCTACTACCGTTGACTCAGTGGTAGATCTCTTCAATGCAAGAGTGTTCATGCGAACACACAAAAATATAAAAAAAACGGGAATATATATGTTTGAATTAGAGTATTAATTTTTTTATTACTACGTAGTATTTTAAGGGAAAACGTGTAATTTTGAACATCCAAAATATAAATATTTAGGTCCGCCACCAGCTGTCTTTCACCTGCTTATGTATGAACGTTTAGTCAGTGTATATGCTAGATAATCTTCTATGAGTGATTTATAAAAGCGTAATGACTGTGTACGCATGACAACACTTTCAATGTACAAGAATAAGATATTGAATATCGCATCAAAACCCTCATGTTATTTTATTTACGAGCGACTGTGTATGTCCTTCAGGCATGTTCTACGAGAGGCGAATTGGGCTGCGGATAAGTTGGCCCATCTCAATCCAGATCAGCTGGTTATCTTTAATCAGGCTTCTGATCTTCCGGACCCAGTGAAAAAAGTTTATTATTTGGCCTTCCTTATCTTAGAAATTAATTCTGTTTCAGTGTTGCTTGGTTTTACTGATGTTGTTTTTGGTTATTGTTGTTTTTGGTTTTTGTTGTTCTTTTGGGTCAGGTCTAGCCCCCCCAATTTGTATTTTTAGCTTTTAAATAAAATCTGGTAAATTTCCCCCGGCATTTACCCCACTGATTTTGGTGGTTGGCCTTCCGGGGTTAAAAAAAACGAGCGACATATTCATTTTATTCGATTTTATGTGTGTTGCTCATGCAAAGAATGTAAAACTTTAGACATGTTTATAACATATTATACAAAATGTACAAATAAAACCATCACAAAAATCAGAAATAAAAATAAAATTTAGTCGAGGATCATTATGTTTATTGAATTATAAAGTTCTATAAAACAAGATAAGAACATAATATTATTTCACATATCTTTCTCTTTACATTCAGGAAGTACCCTTCATAATTTATGGGAATGAAGACAAATAGGAAGACCTTCAACCGGAGTGGGCATGGGATCATATTGCACTTTCTCATCTGGCACAAGTAAGCTCCACCTAAATCTCCTAATGAGATTGTGTAAAAAAATTAGTATCTCCAACCGAGCAAATTCTTTACCAATGCACATCCGCGGCCCTCCTCCAAAGGGGATGTATGTGTAAGGCGGGTGTCCTTGTCCTTCGAATCTCAATGGGTCAAAATTCATCGGGTCTTGGAAAAAAGTCTTATCGAGATGTGTATTTGGAGCATCCCAATAAAACTGTCAAAATTCAAAAATCATATTGCTCTTACTATTACTACTCCTTTCACCAGTACAAAAATAAATCAAGAAAATAAAAGTTATGTGGAAAAACAAGATGACTAATACTTAAGGCTTAATAAATACTACAATACTTATTAGGAAATTGCCTTAAATGAGACTAAAAAGTATTTCAAAGCACGACTATCATTTTTTCCAAAAATAAGAATAATTACTGCCATGTTTTGGCAGTAGCAGACTTTAAACATGACAATATTTTTAAAGCTTGACATTAATAACTCCTATTTATGGAATAAAAATATGACAGTCCTATTTTGGAAAACGCAAACGCTTTTACTCATATTTCGGGAATTTTCCCTTATCACTCCACCGTTCGTCGTTGTAACTTCGTCATTTTTATCTGACACGAAGAATAACAAAGTAAAACCTGTATGGTTGAGATTTGTGTAGGGGAGGGAAATAGTACGTATGAACTACATAACAAGTGATTAATGAGGAAGTGACAAAGTTTTTGGGACAACTAAAAAAAAGATGACAAACTTATTAAGTACAGAGGGAGTATTAATATTGTTTCTATGTGTGTTTATAGGGATGATATTCATATTCAATTCCTCATATGCTTGTAGTGTGTCTCTCTAGTTAAATGATCAACTGTGGTAACCCGCCCAAAGTAAAAAATATCTACTACATTTTCATGAATAACAACAGTCACAATCCTAGATGTAGTCACCCATCACCCCACACTACAACGGCTACATATAAAGATACAAACCAACATATACTCAGTAAAATATTGTACTACTTCTCCTATTAGGTTAATCGTTTAGCACGGAATCCCGGTGCTTAATAACATGATGTTGTACTATTCATTTTTTAATTCCATTAACTATTAAATTCTATTAAATAGGGTTGTACCATTAAGGCATTAACTATTAAATTCATATATCTATTGTTTAATATATGTGTGTATAGAGAGATTAAATCTACTCACTACATTCTGCGAAGATTATCTCATCTTTCTTTCTAGATCCGCCCCCACTAAGATTGTCCCACACTAAATTTGGTAAAATTTGTGCGGTTCTAAATAATTCTTGATATTTTCTTACTTTATCAACTCAATACCAACTATATAAACTCATTTTTCTTAATAAACGCACCACTTCCTCATCTATCGATGTCAGTGGGATGTAAATACTAGTACACAACCATCTTTACAATTTACAAACACATACTTCCTCCGTTCTTAAATAAATGCAACATGTTGAATTTAACACTATTCACATGTTCTACTTTGACTACGTTTTATTTATTAATGCATTTGTTAAATTTGTCTCATTGTAAATATTCAAAATATAATTTTTTAAATTTTTTTACAATACAAAATTATATATATTAATGGTCAAAGTTGTGTCTCGGCAAGCAGTGGCGGAACTAGAAAATAATATAAGCGAGGGCACAATCACATAATGTAAATCATCAAATTAATAATAACATTCTCTTAACAAACCACATCAATAAAACATAAGAAAATTAATCAAAACTGCTTATGTAATGGTGCTAAATCCAAGCTTCCGGTCCTCATGCATGTTATGAAGATGCTGGAAAATAATCTCATTATCGATGTGTCTAAACACATCTCTTTCTATGTAACACTACACATCTGTAAGATTGTCTAATCATAATCCTACTATTCGGCTCACTCCACTTGCATCCGTATGATTGTATCTAGAGGTGTAGCTCTACCATAAACATTTAAAGAACTAGCACCCAAATTTATCGGTACTTTATTTCGGATTTTTTTATTCACATTGTGAATAATAATTACCCAAAAAAAAAATTAATTTAGACTATTATCCACTAGTAATTTATTATAGTCATCTTATTTTAATACAATAAGATACGGAGTAATGGATACCAAATCATTAATTAGTTTGGCGATTGGACCAAAGCTATGCGTATTGCGTTGATTACTTGGTCAGTTGGTTGCTGCTCTGGTCTGTAACAGCCAAAGGTTTGGGCTTTAGACTTGGGCTTTTGGCCTTGGGTGTTGGCCGGATTGGCCCTGCATTTTTTTTGCTTACAACTGAAACGGCGTCGTCCCAATTAAACAAAAACAACACCCCTCTCCCATCGTCCCTATCTTCCAGACGGTCTGCAACACACCCATTGTCCGCCGGAAACTATGGACCAACCCTGCGCGGCTGCGCCGCCCCCCAAGCCCTCCCTTATACCTAGCTCGTACGGACGAAGCAGGGGCACCGGCCCCCTTTGCCCCCTGGCAGATCCGCCCCTGTCGGCAAGTGTGAAATGTTGACGGTTGCATTTATTTAAGAACGAAAGAAGTATATTAGAAATAGTGGTTCTCTCATACGGAGTATTATTTTGAAGTTCATAAATATATTTTAATGATACTTAAGTGAATATGTACATCGATGATAATAAATGCACACTGTAATTTTGTAGTATACTCAAGTAAATGCTTACATCATATTATATTACGATTTGAAAATATATACTTCGTATTTGGTTGATAACTTGATAATGGGGCGGTGACTCTAGAAAAACAAGACGGGCACAATTGCTGGTAAAGAGTATAAAAAGTACTCTTACCCCTACCTATCCTTTATTGATTATTAAATCATTTAATTTATGTTTAGAGAAAATTATAGGGGTTTTTACCTTGAATATTACTAAACTTTAATCAATTTTAAAAAAAGTGACCATTTTCTTATAAGGATAAAAAAGTGATTAAGAAGGTCATATTTTTGGAAAACATGATGTCATTGTCGATTTTAGTCACTTAACAAACGTCACTGTAATATTTTCGTGTCACTTAATAAACGTCACTATAATATTCTCATGTAACTAATGAATGTCACTATCGGATAAACATGTCACTTTAACGGGCAGAAAAATTTTCTGTCGATATCTCCGGTGAAAATTTCCATCGACACCGCTGCGCTGCGCACCACAAGACACCACCAGGGACGGATCCAGGATTCTGAGTCAAGGGGGGCGAAATTTTTCGTTAGTGTAGGGGGTGAATTTTTTTCCGTTAGTGTAGCGGGGTGAATTTTTTTCCCCTAGTGTAGCGGGGCGAAATTTTTTCGCTACTGTGGGGCTATGCGGCTATTTATATTCAAAAAATGACATTAATACATGCACATCCCGAACGGCATTTAAATCTAATACATTTTAAGTTTAGACGATGACAAAGACATCAACCAATACATTTTTAATAACTTCTACATTGTTTAACCTCATAAATCGGTTATTGAATTGTAATTTTTGTCCACCAAGGAGGGTGTTCGTGAGTCATGACTCATGAGAAGTTTTCTTAATATTACAATAATAGTATACTAGTATGTATGAGATTGTTATTTTTAGAATAATGTGCACCACATACACACACACACACACACACATATATATGGCGCATATTATATTTTAATATTTTTATTAATTCTATAATAATTTAAAGTTTATTATCCATGCAATAAATTATTTTCAAAAACCAAGAAGTAAATGAATTATGTAATCTAATGTCTATAAATATTTATATTTTGGATTCATTTCACGTCATCTAAAAATTGTGTAATTAGTGTGTCTGGTATTTAATATTGTTTGATATATGTTTTACAAAATCCAGTACTTGTTATCTAATAAAGATAATTAAACATTACAAAACTAGAAATTCTTATATAATAAGTATCCTAAATCTTAAATAACGAGTTACTCTATTGTTTATTTGTTTAAATTATGTAAATTATTTTAGATGTTTATTCTTTCAAATCTCCAATTAAGTATTACATTATGTAAGACTATATACTAACTTTGAAAATTAAAAGCTAAGGGGGGCGAATCTAATTAAATTATGAAAGTTTTATGAAAATATTACATATATGGTAAAAAAATTTGAATGTCCAAGGGGGGCGGTCGCCCCCCCCCCTAAATCCATCCCTGGACACCACCCTTGTCGTTGAAACAGGCTATGCCCTCTACCCCAACCTAGCCCCTCCCCTTCTTCCCTCCACAGTCCACTGCCACAGCCTAACCCACTCCAGCGCCGCCCAATCCCCACCACACACATCGGCCACCATCTCCACAGCCAGCCGTCAAACCCAAACCTCAGCCCCAACCTTCAGCATTGGCTAATCACCACCGCACCACTGTGCTTGACCATCGAAACGGCCGCCCCAGCCCCACTACATCTGAGACACACAACATCCTAGCCACACAAACTACACCATAGCTTCCGGCCTCAAAACGAACCCAGATCTGAAAATTAGATTTGAAATCCCGACTCCGTGGGCATCAGAAGCGAGGCTGTATCGAAGAATATTTAGAGCGGGCGACCTGGAAGCCGGCAGAGGCGGCGACGTCAGATTCCAACGGAGGCGGCGATTGAAGATGGAGCCGGTACGATATGGAGGCGGTGGCGGATTGTGGCGGTGAGATGGGCAACTGCGGAAGTGCTATGGCCGACGGAGGTGCCAAGGACGACTGAGGAGCTACGGAGAAGAAAGATGACTTGACTGCGGAGAAGAAAAATGACTTGACGGCTGGTGATGCAAGGCTGATAGGTGGAGAAGAAGGAGAGAAGATATGGCCAGGGAGCCGCCGGAGAAGAAGCTGGGAAATGGTGGAGCCGATGGACATACAATGTGCGTAGATCTGCGACTTTTCGTTCTCACGCGAAAGAGCCGGTTACTTTTTGGGGAAATCAAAAAGTTGACATGTTTTTGGAATTAGAAAGTCAGGGACTAATAACGGTGCCATTGTTTCAAATTATAGATATAGTTCTGCAACCTTTTATGATGTTCAAGTTTAATGTTTGACGAGCACTTTGTCACGGTGCGCCAAAATAAATTCAATACTAGCACTAATACGTAGTATAGTGAAGTAGAGTTCGTATCCACATGAAAAGGAATAATTCTCTTTTTATAAAACTAGTAAATAAAATGGGGTTTTTGGAATTGAGTGATTTTATTTAAGTAAACACTAAGATGAACGACTTATATGATTTAAATTAATGAGATAAAAGAGACTTGGTTTTGCTATTTTCCACTTGTTGATATATTTAGTCGATCCTTGTTATATCTATAACTTATCCCCTGTCGAATACTCAATCGAGGAGTATCTCCAATTCATCGAGGATAGTTATTAACAACGACCGTTCATTAATAACCCTTACTATTAGTCAAGTATAGAACACCGCCATATACCGACTTGATAGTAGCATTTAATCTCTTAACTCCTTGATGAAATCAATTGAGATTGATAACCTCAACACAACAGTTTCGGTTTAACCAACAAAATTATCCCTCTTAAGTTTATTAACCACGACCGTGCAATAATAAACCGAAGTTACTTACTTGTGAAACCATCAACGATTAACCATCGGTTCATTGATGTTTCTAGTAGTAATTAATGTCGAGATGTTAACTAATTGTCATCTTAGCAACACTCCCCAACATTAATATAGAGATAGATTAAGGGAAGAATTAATATTCAAGGGAAGAAGTTAAGAAAATAACTCCTAACTTTAATAATCAACAAGCTTCAAGAACAACACCAAGAAATGAAAGTTTAGCTCCTCATTTGGAGACTAAACATGCTAGAAAATATAAAGAAATAGCTATTCTAAACTAAGCTTAAGAGAGTATGTGAATTGGTGATTTTATTGTGAAGGAAAAGAGGTGTATTTATAGGTGTTTGGAGGTGGCAGGGTGGTGTACCCGACCGAGTATATAGGGTACTTGATCGGGTATATCAGGCAGTTTCCTGGTAATAAGTCACTTTTCTAGGCATACCCGGTCGGGTATGAGTCAAATCTTCAAAATCCTGCACGTTGTTTTTTGTCTCTCCAGATTCTGATTTTGACACCCAAATCAACTCAATACCCGATCGGGTTTTGCCTATACCCTATCGTGTATATGAAATATTTTTTCAATCTTCTTTTTATCTTGTCCCCTTGCACTTTCCTTGATATTTTGGGGTCCAATCTTGATCCTTTGGATGATCTTGACCCGTTTTAAGCTCAGAATAATCTTAATCTAAACAAATTACATCTATCTAATAAAATAAACTATTACACCAAAAGTGTATAATTTCCCAAACAACAACAAATAAAACTAGTGAAAATAGAAATAATACATAACAAAAATACAACTCTATCAGTACTTTTATTCTATCACAAATGTGATAAGATAATTAATAAACTTGTTCAAATTAAAAACTCTTCCTCCGTAAATCAAACTTAATAAAACAAAAGACGATAAAAATGACTGAATTGAAAAAAGTTGATTGAAACATGATATAATTAATCAAAATTAAAACGAACCAACCAAAATTAGCCAAAATTGACTCTAAAATAAATTTTGGTTCTCAATTCACCATTCTAAAAATTTATCATAAAAATAGAACCGTCTAACTTTTCTAATTTTCATTTTAGACACTCTTTCAAAATGAGATCATTATACATATAATAATAACTTGTGAAATAATATTTGACAAAATATGATCATGCTTAAATGTGAATTACTGAATTAGTGGTAGACACGGACCTAGACAAAAATAATATTCCCTTTTTGGGTCGGTTCCAGACCCAAACCGGTTGATGCTAAAAAATGACGGAGACCTGAGACCTATATTTCTTGCCCCGGTCTCCCATCCAATCTAGGTCTGTTCTCGATTTTATTTATTTTTTTATATTTTATATTTTTAAATCCTATGTCTCCCTCCCCACTTCTTTTTCAACTTTTAAATGAACCTTCATCTGTTTTAAAATAATGCTCCACAATGATTTCAATGCAAAAAAAAAAATGACCGGGATCGGGACCGACCGGTCCCTAACCCAAAAAGTGAGGCCCGAGACTTTTTTCTGCTACTCCCGTCTCGGTCTTGGCCTAAAACCTTATTTTCTGGTCCCTGGACCTTATCCGCTGATAATGTAAATCATGAAAGTAAGTATTTCCCATACAAAATTAAATCAAGTGCAATAGCAGACCAAAAAATTAAATTTATTTTCCAAAATATACTTTAGAGTTAGTTCCGATTAATTTCGGTTGGCTTCTCTCATTTTTGGTCAATCTTAGCATGTTTTGGTCGGCATTTTTCAATTAAGTTATTTTTCAAATCCAAAGGCATAAAGGGAACTATCTAGAGCAAGGTAAGTTTTTGGTTTTATTAGGTTCGATTTCCAGTGGAAGAAGAGTCTTTAGCGGATCTATATCTATAATTTTATGGATATATTTATTAATTATTGGATCACATATGTGATTGAAAATTATTATGTCATTAAAAGAGGACACGATAAAAAATGACGAAACTATATCTATAAATTTCTCTAAACATAAATTAAAAGTTACTCAACTATCATTAAAGGATATGATGTAAGAGTACATGTTTTATAATGCAGGAGTGAGAGTGATAATACCTCAAATCTCAGGGAAGTCAATGAAATTTTTTGTTAGAGGAATAATCATCCCCAATTGTTTGTTTCCATCTATAAATAATTAAATATCCATCTATAAATATCCATCTAACAAGACAAAACGGGTTTTATCTTCAATTATATCCCCCCATTAAATATAGTTAAACACATAAAAATGGTGATAATAAGACTATTAGGTCATAAGTAAATTTACACCATTTAAATATTTGACAATTTGATAGTAAGTATTACACCAAAATGTTATGTGTGCGCACATTGCAGTTTTAGAGAAAATGATGCTCTCCGTGATAAATATGAAGTCACAAAAACGGGTGCACTTTTTTATCAACAAGGAGCTCATTTGTGTTTTGAAAAAATATTGTCTACGATTACAATAAAGTTCATTTGATTCATACAAATAACACATTTTTGGTGTCTTTTGCACTGTTAAATCTAAAATATAATACACCATATAAATATATTAAATAGTATTACCTTCCACCCTTTGGGAATGTCATAACCTTCATAGGTGATGTCCTCAAGTGCTTCTCTGAAGGTTCCAGAGATAGCGGGATACAACCTCAAAACTTCAGAAACAACATTCCATGAATACTTCATCTTTTGTATGTCATTCCAATTAAGAAACTGTCCAACTTCTTTTGATGATGCAATCTCTCTTTGCTCTGCTTACCCGAAAAAAAGACATTTAAAAAAATGCATTTCTCATTATTTTTCAATGGTCATTATGAAGGTTGCGGCAAGAAAAATCAAGAGCTATCGTACTATTTAAAAGCCACCATTGCCTAATAAAATGGGCAGATCAAAGTCTTCTGACTTAACATATCTCGTTAGAGGAGACTAGTTTTTTTATGTGCATGTTGTTGGGTTGTGGGGATGCGGTGCCAGCAATCCTGCGAGCTTGCTTGTGCAATCGATCGTGGCGCTTTGCCTATTCTATAAGGGGGAAGAATGTGCTACACTATTACCGGTTGCTTTTAGTATAGCGGTAAGCGCAACGATCCACACATGCTCTTTGTAATTCTTAATCAGATAGAGATTCTAATTAAAACCTTATGAGCTTAAGGCTCTATATAAGAAAAGTAGTTCAAAAATCAAAATCATAGGTTTACCAGAAGGTTTGGTGTAATAATATGTATAAAAGGATAAGAAATTGTGTGAGTTCATACCTTGAAGGACCTTCTCATAAACATGAGGCAACTCCCCAAGCTTCTTTACAAGAAGGGTGATAGTTACACTGGAAGTGTCATGGCCAGCAAACAAAAGCACGAGTATATTGTTCACTATATGCAAGTCAGACATGAAGTTCCCATCATCGTCCGGTGTGAGAAGCAAATGCGAGAGAAGATCATTGGCGGTTGAAGTTCCATCCTGCCTCATCATTTCTCTTCTCTCTTTTAAAATCGCAAGAAGCTCTTCCTTGATTAGAGCACTGGCTCGGGTTGCATAGTAAAATCTCGTCCCGGGGACATTAAGAGGCAGTGATATGACTCCCTTTAGCACAATGTGGAAAAGGACCGAAAGCTTGTTTATCTGGTTTGGATCTTCAACACTCATAAAGAAGCGGCAAGCAAGTTCGAAAGTGTATAACTTCACAACATGGAACACTTTCAGTGTCTTGTCACCTTCACACACACCAAAGATTCTATTTTCAATATATTTATGCTAGCTTATACATTGGTAACTATTAAGTAGTCAAGTTCTCTACTTCATAATCTTGTAATGTAGTAATAGAATAATGTAGGAATTTATAATAAAAGGACTAAGAGTTGAGTTAACTCAAGGATGGTATCAATTTTTCAACTAGTTGGTCCAATTTCTTTGTAGTTCAGTTTATCCAATTGTCCAATATTCAAGAACTCTACTGTAACAACATTTCTCAAGATATTTGCTTGAAAATAGTTTGGAAAAGGAAATTAAAAGTCACAGCCACTTTTCATAATTTCATCCCATTACCTATGGTCAAGACAAGGGCAGATGGTTAGAGATGAAAGCAATTAGGGAATACTTGACATCAGGAGATCAATCCTATTTCATATTTATGTCCACCTTGTCACGAAGATCGTACTAATAGTAGATTTTAGTTTAATTATTTAAAAAGGTAGGTTTTAATTTATCAATAAAAACTGCTTTGGGGTTTTGAGAACTTCGAATTTTGAACTTTTTGGTTACCTCTTACAAGTTGTGAGGTTTTGTAATTTATTAAGGGGATTGAAGTGGTCAAAAACCAAAGTTAAATGAAAATATGACCTAGCAGATGGAGAATAAAGTTGAGGGAGAATCTGCGCATGTTCTTTTATTGTTTCTCCCCCTCTTTTATATAAATGTTCTTAACACCAATATAGAATGCTGATTCAAGTTAGTCCATCCAAATCTCTTTCCAGAATATGGCTTTGGATGTAATTTAAGAGAGTAATTTGAGTGATTTATATGTTCAAATTGTACCATATGTAAAAAGGAGCAAAGAAGAGGGGAAATGTCATACTTGTCATTCACTCATTCTATTTCAATTAGAGCACCCACAATTATTGTCAAGTTCTTAATTTATAGCAGTTGTTACTTGGCCACATCATTAATGGACAGATATATGAGGCCGTTTGGAACCACTATTTTTCGGCTTATCAGGCTTATCAGCCAACTTTTTCACCAAACACGCAATTTTAGCTTTCGCGCGCTGAATTGTGTAATAAGCAGAAAAAGTGAGGTTGAAGTTATTTTTCTGAATGTATTGACTGAAGTTACTGTAAATGACCATTTTAGCTACTTTTACATATAATTTTTTTCTTCATTTTATTAATAAAATATATTTTAAAAATAATTTTTTCTTAAATCAGCAGAATCAGCCAATGCAACCACTTCAGCCAGAATTTCATGAATTTCAGTAGAATCAGGCAAATCAACCGATTTTCGTGCTACCAAACGGGCTCTAATTTACTACTACCTCCGTCTCCCTGTTATTGTCCCATTGCGGGTTACAATGCTTAACTGATAATAAAGCAAACAGATCCCTGTCCGCACTCAAATTATTTTTAGGAAAAAAATTACATATTTAGAAACTACATTAAAATCTTTACAAAGTCGCAAAAACCAGAATCGAATTTGATAAAAGGTTGATACATAAAGTAAGAGATTAAAAGTAATTTAGTTGACTAAGTGAATAGGAAATGAGACAATAACAAGGGGCGGAGGGAGTAATACTTAACAAAAAGGTAGATTCTATGGGAACCACAAAGTATCACACTTTTGTCCACACGGACCAACCAAAATATTGTAGTTGATTATTTAAATGAAAATTAAAAATGATATGATGTCTTAGACCAATCAAATGAATGATAGGTACAACACTCCATTTTTTAATTGGGTACCCAATTTCTAACCAAACAAAAATAATATCACATGCATAGTTCGAGTTGCGTACTTGCGTCGTGTTTCTCGCGTAGAAATTTTACTTTATTTTCCCCTTTTTTAAGTGTGCGAATGTGTGTAATGTTGTAATAAAAACATGTCTAAAGAGTCAAATGAGTACATGAACTAACTTAAAGTGTTCAATTAGCCCCTTATATAGGAGGTTCTGCCCGACCGTTGCCAATTGGGGCGGTTCCCGGTTGAATTTTTTGATGAAAATTTTTGAGCATCTTTTTCATTAAGTCTAGTTTACCCATATCAAATTTCAGATACAAATTAAATCGGGAAGGCAGTCAAATGATTTTCCAAAATGTACTGCGTTGTTTAACTGCGCAGTTATACTCAAAAAATCATTTGACTGCCTTCCCGGTTAAATTTTTAGCTGAAATTTGGTATGGATAAACTAGACTTAATGAAGAAGATGTTCAAAAAAATTCGTCAAAAAATTCCACTGGGAACCGCCCCAATTGGCAACGACCGGGCAGAACCTCCTATATAAGGGACTAATTGAACACTTTAAGTTAGTTCATGTACCTATTTGACCCTTTAGCCTAAAAACATAGATAAAGCTTAAGAACATCAACCAACTTTACACCGACAAGACCGAGTTCATATATTCTAAAAACAAAATTCAACCTACGATTGAGAAAATCTCCCTAAGTAAAGTTTGATGCGTGAATAAGTGATGTTATAGAAAGGGAATTAGAATCGGTCCTTATTAGTTATCGAAAAATGCTAAAGATATCCCAATTTGTACCCCCACTCTATTTTTGTGGCTCACAAAAGCACCTCATTAAAATGGGGCAATTCATTTATTGATGTGGGCTTTTGCGAGTCACAAAAATTGATTGAGGTACAAATTGGGTTACCAATTTGGGTACCTATAGCAGAGTTGTTAGTTATCATACAAAGATCCTCGCTTGTGTGAATCTAGCAAGTGCAATATATTATATATATGTAGTACGGAGTATGTAATAGCCAAGATTAGCTTAAAAGAATTAATAATAGGAAGTAGTATTCATATCATTAAAAGCACGCCTTCTTTTAAGATCTCGTTTTGTAAGAACTTTGCAGTTAAACGTGCTGGTATGCAGGGGCGGCCCTAGGGGGCATTGGGCGGGTTTTGGGTTTTGAAATTGTTTGACATGCTTCCGGATGGATTTTTTTATGCAAATTTATGAGTATGTTTTCTATGAAGTTTAGATTATGTCCACAAAATTTCAGTCTAAAATTTTAAATAAATTATTAAAAAACACTATGCTATTTATGTTTATTTTGGCGCAGTGTTTTTCAATAATTTATTTAACTGACTTCCCGATTGAATTTTAAGTTGAAATTTTGTGGAAATAATTTACACTTCAAGGAAAACATGGTCACGAATCTTCATAAAATAATTCTACTCTATTTTAATTTCTGCTTTGGAGGGTTTTAGTACGACTTCTTCGTTGGTTGAGACTTTTGTCCGCTTCAGGTGAGCGTGTGGTACATTATTCTTCTAGCAATGTTTAGAGATTGTGTGTTTCTCATTAGTGTGATAGATCTAGTGGCTTTTCGTTGTTTATGGATGGCAAAACTTTTTCAACATTGTTGTTCTCAGACTTCAATTACTTCTCTCGCCCTCCACCTGAATCAATGTCTTGCTCTGGGAAGAAGAAAACATTCAACTAGATCTCTTTTGTGGTGGCTGGTCAAACTGGTGATTCAAAAAAAATCTAATCGACCGAGTTTCCTTTGTTGGTAGCTTGTCAAATCAGTTCTCTCTTTTCGTTGGCGGGTGAAGTCGAGATTCTTGATTTAATTTGTTTCCTTTCTAGTTTGGACAATATATTTTCCTTTTAATTGCCTTTTGAGTAGCAAGTAGAGCACTACTATTAGATTAGCGTACATAGTTGCTTGATTAACGAATTTGTTTGTTCCTTGGAGACCATCCGAGATTTTATGTTCCATCACCATGTAGGCTTGAGTTATTGTATTGGTTTATCTCTTCCTACTTTTATCATTAATATATTATTTTAAATTGATATATTATATTGAGACGAATGGAGTATCATCTTTGTTTCAAGTGAAATTTATCTCGATTGAGAATAATATACGCCTTCCGTCCTATAAAATTCTTCCCGGCTTGATTTAAATCAGAATTTATAAAAGTGATTATAGAGTGAAAATATAATAATGTATATGGTTGAGCTAAGTAAGAAAAAAGTAAATGAATGTTAAATGATCGCGGACCGTGCCAGTAGGTGTGCAGATGCTGCTGCGTGACAAAATCCATTTTTGTGATGTAGAGCTGCTGGATAGCAGCCGGGCTTAAGAAGTATGACATCAACTTCTTCATCTGCTTCGCTTCCTCGCCGTTACTAGTTGACAGGCATACTCCGAACAGCTTCTGTATGGTGACCGGCCACCACGACGCCACCAGCTTGCTCCCGTTGCTGAACAGGAATTTGTTCCCGGCCTGGCCGCTCAGCACAACCACCGCCTCGCCCATCAAGCTAGTCTTGAATATCCTCGACTTGTATTTGCTCACTCTGTCCGCCACGAATTTCTCCGGCCTCCCTTCCCGGCTTAAGCGGACGAACTCCACCGATTCGCCGATCACCGGCCATCCGAGGCTGCCCGGAGGAAGATTCCAGGATCTTTTCTTCTTGGTGTGGATAAAACGGGCGGTGGATAGGATGAGAATAGAGGCCAAGACGATTAGAACCCCTGTCAAGGTTGGATCCATAAGTGTAGGACTTCTTCTAAGAATTTCATCCCAACATGGAGTCATGGTGGGGAAGATATGGAGGCACAGAGTACGTACTACTTCACCTATAAATAGGAAGCGTATTATCATCATAACAAAAAGGAAGAAAATTGTGTGTAGAATGATTTCCAATAAGAGTAAGAGTGTATAGGTTTGGCCGTTTGGGGTTGGGTTTTGAGTTAATTATCAAAATAGGACTAAAAGTCATTCATTTTGCACAAATAGGACCAAAAAATAAATTATGTTTCCATAGGACTAATTATGTGTGTCTTGGACAAATATACCCTTATACCTATTGGAATGTTTTAATTCATAATAAAATAATAAAAAATAATAAAAATTCGTAAAATATACCAAAAAATTAATAAAAATATTTTGGATAATAATAAATTTAAAAAAAAAAATTTAAAAAATAAAAAAAATAAAAATAAAAATAATTAAAAAAAATCAATTTTTTTTGTCACTGCCGCCTCTGCCGCCCCAGCACCACCACCTCTAGTCATTTGGGGAAAAAATGCCAAATTTATTATGAATTCCATATTTTTGGCATAATTCAGAATGATTTAAGATGGAAGAAAAAAAATGTTGGCATTGTCAAAGAGAAATATGCCATATTTTTGGCATTTTCCGAAAAAAATGGAAGTTTGTAGGAAATATGGCATTTTTTTTAACGGTCGGGGGTGGTGGTGCAGGGAGGCGGTACCACCACCTCCTGTCACCGGGGTAAAAAAATGCCAAAAAAATTATGAATGCCATATTTTTGGCAAAAGTCAAAAGGATTCAAGTTGGTAGAATGAAAATGTTGGCATTCTCATAAAGAAATATGCCATTGTTGTGGAATTTAAAAAAAAGTGGCATTTTTTACACCGATCGGAGGTGGTGGTTCAGGGAGGTAGTACAGGCGGTGTGAAAGGTATCCATATTTTTTTTAATTTCTTTTTATGGAGTTTTACTATTTTTTATTAATTTTCAAAAAAAAAATTAAAATTTTTTTTTCTTATTTTTTATTTTATAAAAATTTTATTAATTTTTTTATTATTTTTCTACGAATTATTGAATTTTTTTGAATTTATTATGAATTAAACATTTAATTATGACTTTTAGCTATCTTTTACTAATATTTAAAGGAGGGATAAAAATGGAAGGAAGAAATTGTGAGAATAATGAGGAAGCGTACCTTAATGGTAGCCCCGGAAGTATTATTTATAATAAGAGAGTCAAAGATACATTGAGATTCCTACTATAATTAGACAACCTAATTAATATTAATAAATACATTATTACACCCCCTCAAGCTGTGCAGGGGAAACAATGCGCAGATTGTCTCGAAGAAAAGTGAACCGTTGTGGAGATAGACACTTCGTAAAGATGTCCGCCAACTGTAGCTGAGTAGGAACAAATTTGACTTGTAAATCACCATGAGCCACCCGTTCACGAACAAAATGATAATCAATATTAATGTGTTTGCTGCGAGCATGCTGAACAGGATTTGCAGATAAATAAGAAGCAGACACATTATCACAGAGGAGTTGAACAGGCGCGGCAATGGAGATACCCAACTCAAATAAAATAGACCGGATGTGAAGAGTATCTTGAACAGCATAGGCAATAGCACGATATTCCGCCTCCGTAGAAGAGCGGGAAACGGTAGGCTGTTTCTTAGACTTCCAGGACACCAAATTTGGACCAAGAAAGATAGCAAACCCAGACGTGGATCTACTGCTGTCCGGACATCCTCCCCAATCAGCATCTGAATAAGCCAGTATAGTAGGAGCTGTAGAACTCGACTGGAGAAGTAGGCCGAAGTCAGACGTCCCATGTATGTACCTGAAAATGCGCTTAACTGCCAACAAATGTGTAGTACGAGGAGCATGCATAAACTGAGAGACCAGGTGAACAGCATAAGTAATATCAGGTCGAGTCATGGTTAAATACTGTAACGCTCCTACCATACTCCGATACTCAGTCGGATCTGCTAACAGATCCCCATCAGTTAGAGAAAGCTTGGTACGAGTAGGAAGAGGAGTACGGACTGGTTTAAGAGTATGGAGATGAAAACGGAGTAACAAATCAGACACATATTTATGCTGAGATAAGAAAAGACCACGAGAGGTTTTAAGAGCTTGAATCCCAAGAAAAAAATGTAGATCACCCAAATCTTTCATAGCAAAGGATTTATCAAGAGAGGAAATAAATGAGCTGATGAAAGAGGGAGAATTACCTGTGATTATGATATCGTCAACATAAAGTAACAAGTAGATAGTGAGGGCACCATGGTTATAGATAAACAAGGAATTATCTGAACGACTACAAATAAAGCCATGCATTAATAAAAAACTACTAAAACGATAGAACCATGCACGTGGAGCTTGCTTAAGCCCGTAAATAGCTTTACGTAGACGACAGACATAATGAGGAAACTGAGGATGAATGAAGCCAGGGGGCTGACGCATATAAACCTCCTCCGTAAGATGACCATGAAGAAATGCATTTTTGACATCCAATTGGCGTATTTGCCAACCAAAAGAAACAGCTAATGTAAGGACGAGACGAACCGTGGTGGGTTTAACAACAGGACTAAAAGTTTCTGAAAAATCCACACCTGCTTGTTGATTAAAACCTTGAGCAACCAGACGCGCCTTAAACCGCTCAATAGACCCATCAGAATTAAATTTTGTTTTGTAAATCCATTTCGACCCAACAACATTCTGTCTATTACAAGGTGGAACTAATTCCCAGGTGTTATTATTGATAAGTGCATTAAATTCCTCAGCCATAGCCGCTCTCCATTTAAAATCCTTATTAGCCTGAGAAAAACAAGTGGGATCACATGCCGCAATATCTGTTTTTAATGTAAAAATCTGTTTTGGTTTAAAAATTCCAGATTTGGAGCGGGTTTGCATTGGGTGACAGTTTAACGGTGGAGGGCTGTAGACTAAGGGTTGTGACGGAGGAGAGTTAATTTGGATATCGGACTGGATGGGGCTGGTGCACGGGCTGGGTATGGTGAGTGGAGTGGAAGGTGGGCTAGACTGGGTCGGTGTGTTTGGTAGTGAGTTAGCCGGGCAAAGAGAAGTGGAAGGTTGGCTGGCTGGGCTCGGCTGACTGGAGGGTAGGTGGGACGGACTGGGCAAGGGCTGAAGCTCGGTGTGTGTATGCTCAGATGGTGGAGAAAAGCTGGCAGGAGGTAGACTGGTGTGAGGAAGAAGTGTACCAGGAGACGAGGCAAAAGTAGACTCAGGTAAGGATGATGCAGCAGGCCAAGTAAGAGCATGATCAGTGGAACGAGTGGAAGCAGAGATAAGCTCAGAATATGGAAAATGATTTTCATGAAAACGCACATTCCGATTAACGTAAATTTTTCCAGTTTTAGGATCTAAACACCGATAACCTTTATATTCAGGGGCATATCCCAAAAATACACACAGTACCGATCTAGGAGACAACTTGTTTGCAGACGTGGCATTAAAATTAGGAAAACAGGCACAACCAAACACACGCATAAAGGAGAAGTCAGGTGGATGATGAAATAATTTTTCAAAGGGAGATGACCCATTTAAATTGGGAGAAGGGAGACGATTAATAATAAAAGTAGCAGTGTAAACAGCATCAACCCAGAATTTAGCCGGTATATTAGCTTCAAAGAGCATAGTTCGGGTAAATAATCCTCCACAGCATTTAATCGAGTAGTAACAATATTTGTGATGTTCATGGCGGAAAAACCGAGTGATTGGGACAGAATGGCAAGTGAGGAATTGCCGGATGATACCTGATTCCGGGTGCCAATGGGACTGATTTGAGGGATCACAGACAGACCGGGAGAGCCAAGGAGCGTCGAACCGTTGAACACACTTGCTGGAGCATCCGAGATTATCGCAGCAGAAGAGAAAGCCGAGTTCTGTCCAGGAGCAATGGAATGCGACGAGCCCGGAGGTGGAGATGGAATCGCCGGAGTTGTCGGAGACCATGTAAAGATCGGTGGGACCCAACTTCCAAACGTCAAAGGCGGAAGCGTTGTGTCAGCCGGCGAACTGAAGATGGTGGTATCCATCCCGTTCTGCGTCTGGCTGCCTGCAGTGGTGGTCGATATCGCAGGAGGAGGCGCGGCCGTAGTAGGCGCTGCCATGCTGGCCGAGAATGAGGCGGCTTCGGTAGACATGATGATCGTAAAAAAAAATTATAACCCTAGGGCTCTTGATACCATGTGAGAATAATGAGGAAGCGTACCTTAATGGTAGCCCCGGAAGTATTATTTATAATAAGAGAGTCAAAGATACATTGAGATTCCTACTATAATTAGACAACCTAATTAATATTAATAAATACATTATTAGAAATGAGTATGTTTCCAATAGGATTACTATGGTCCTATTTTGGAATAAAAAACATAGCAAGTCCTATATTTAGTCCTATTTTGGTTTTTTAGTATTTAGTAGGCTTGACTCCTACTCCGTATAATTTTAGAGTTAACTATCAAAATAGGACTAAAAGTCATTCACTTTGCACAAATAGGACCAAAAAATAAACTATGTTTCCATAGGATTAATTATGTGTGTCTTGGACAAATATCCCCTTATACCTATTAGAATGTTTTAATTCATAATAAAATAATAAAAAATAATAAAAATTCGTAAAATATACAAAAAAATTATTAAAAATATTTTCAATAATAATAAATTAAAAAAAAATATAAAAAATTAAAACAAAATTAAAAAAAATAAAAAAATCAATTTTTTTTTTGTCACCGCCGCCTCTGCCGCCCCAGCACCACCACCTCTAGTCATTTGGGGAAAAAATGCCAAATTTATTATGAATTCCATATTTTTGGCATAATTCAGAATGATTTAAGATGGCAGAAAAAAATGTTGGCATTGTCAAAGAGAAATATGCCATATTTTTGGCATTTTCCGAAAAAAATGGAAGTTTGTAGGAAATATGGCATTTTTTTACGGTCGGAGGTGGTGGTGAAGGGAGGCGGTACCACCACCTCCTGTCACCGGGGTAAAAAAATGCCAAAAAAATTATGAATGCCATATTTTTGGCAAAAGTCAAAAGGATTCAAGTTGGCAGTATGAAAATGTTGGCATTCTCATAGAGAAATATGCCATTTTTGTGGAATTTAAAAAAAATGGCATTTTTTACACCGATCAGAGGTGGTGGTTCAGGGAGGTAGTATAGGCGGTGGGAAAGGTATTCATATTTTTTTTAATTGTTTTTATGGAGTTTTACTATTTTTTATTAATTTTAAAAAAAAAAATTAATTTTTTTTTTGTTATTTTTTATTTTATAAAAATTTTTATTAATTTTTTTATTATTTTTCTATGAATTATTGAAATTTTTTCGGATTTATTATGAATTAAACATTCAATTATGACTTTTAGCTATCTTTTACTAATATTTAAAGGAGGGGTAAAAATGGAAGGAAGAAATGGGTATGTTTCCAATAGGACCACTATGGTCCTATTTTGGAATAAAAAACATAGCAAGTCCTATTTTGAGTTTTTGCCATTGTTTTAGTCCTATTTGAAGTAATTTCTAATAATTTTATTCATGAAGAATATTCCAATTCTAACAAGTGATAATAGAGCAAGGTTGTACTTTCGAGACAATCTTCTACAACTTCCGTTTCTTTTTAATTGCAACATTAGATTTTTTTTACTATTCACATATTCTACTTTGACTATATTTTATTTATTGATGTATTATAAATTAAATTTAAAAAAAAAATTAAAGTGCTCTCATTTTTACTTTTCATACTATGAATTTGTTATTTTTTTACTAATAAGGAATGAAAGATATTAATTGTCAAACTTGTGCGTTGGCAAATGTGAAAAGTGGACCGTTGCAATTAAAAAGAACGGAGGAAGTATTTTTCTTTCGAAAAAAAAACTAGTGGCCAGAAAATTCGTGTTTTTCAGCTTGGCCCGAAATTGAAATATGCTTTTTTTGTGAATAACTTAATTACCAACTTCATTCTTCACTTTTTATGACGCACCATACAATTATACAGAACATCAATTGGGCACGGAATTGAAATATGCTATATCGTTGGATTTGGATTTGTCTCGGCAAGAAACAAAACTAGTATTTTCAAAAAGCCACTGCACACCCTGCCACACACCGTGTTGTATGCAGCCCAGGATTTCTACAAACTGAAAAATGCAATTTGAAGGAAAAATCTCACTTAGGCATTTAATCAAACACTTTAAAGGCAAGGAGGAAAATTACTCTCTGGTGCTTATGTAAAAGTGATAACAACGACACTTTACAAAAGAGGATACTCCAGACTACATTTTAATCACAAAAGCTGCTGCTATTTAAATAAAGAGAAGTAACTAGTTAACCGAGCACTACCCACTATTCTAAAAATCAGGAAAAACAAACTAACCAACTAAGCAATAAGATTGGATCATGGGTTATGCCCAAGATTTTAGGAACAAGTTTGGACTAATTCCAACATTCTCTCCCTTAATCCAAACTTGATCAGGTGAGATCTTTGACTCCAAGCAGCTCACACATTTCTGCAAATTTAATTCTTGATAATGCCTTGGTGAGTATATCACCTCGCTGTTCTTCGGTGCACACATGCTGAACCACGATTTCTCCTCTTTCCACGCATTCACGAATGAAGTGAAAACGAATATCAATATGCTTGCTCCTCCCGTGGAACATTGGATTCTTCATTAGTGCAATTGCGGATTTATTATCAACATAAATTGTGACAGGATCAACCTTGTTAAGTATCAGATCACTAAGTAACCCACGCAACCATATTCCCTGGCAAGCTACCGCACTCGCCGCCATAAATTCAGCTTCACATGAGGACAATGCAACACTCCGCTGCTTCTGTGAGGCCCAAGTAACAAGGTTGTTATTGAGGTAGAAGGCCATCCCGCCAGTGCTCTTCCTATCCTCTATATCCCCGGCCAGATTACTATCTGAAAACCCGAGGATTACTTCTTTTTCAGCTCCCTTTGAGTACACAAGTCCGAGACTAATTGTACCTTTAACATACCTTAATAAATGTTTCACAACTTGATGGTGTAATACAATAGGTTTCTCCATGTGCCTACTAGCTACACCTAATGCATAAGTAAGGTAAGGACGAGTGTGAGTTAAGTACCTTAAGCTACCAACAATACTTTTGAATTGAGTTGCATCCACGGGCTATCCTTCATCCTTGCGCAACTCAAGCTTCGGTTCCATAGGATATTTGGCAGAGTTACAGTCTAACATCTCAGTGTTTTCTAATATCTTTTTAGCATATGCGGATTGTTTGAGTGTGATCTGCCCCTCTGATTCCTTGACCTCAATTCCAAGATAGTATGACAAGAGACCAAGATCACTCATGTCAAACTCCCTACTCATTTGATTCTTAAACTCACTGATTTTTGAAGCACTTGAGCCGGTGACTAACAAATCATCAACGTAAACACCAATGATCAAAGCTTTCCCTGCCATATACCGGGTGTAGACAGCTTGTTCATAGGCACATCTTTTGAATCCAAGCTTCTTTAAACACTTGTCTAAGCGAGCATTCCATGCCCTCGGTGCTTGCCTCCGCCCGTAAAGTGCCTGGTTCAGTTTGTAGACTTTATTCTCTTGATTCTTCTTCACAAAACCCTCTGGTTGGTCAACATATACTTCCTCCTGAAGTTCGCCATTTAAAATGCAGATTTAACATCAAGATGGTGAACCTCCCACCCTCTTTTGGCAGAAAGTGCAAGAATCAGCCGCAGAGTTTCAATACGAGCCACTGGTGCAAAAACTTCTTCATAATCAACACCTTGTTGTTGTGCATAGCCTTTTGCAACAATTCTTGCTTTGTACTTGATGATATTCCCTTGCATGTCCTTCTTTAGTTTGTAGACCCATTTAAGTCCAATCGGTTTGTGACCAGGTGGCAAATCAGTGAGGAACCAAGTCTTGTGCTTCTCAATTTACGATAACTCTTCTATCATTGCTTCCTTCCAACTAAGCTCCTTGCTAGCTTCACGAAAGGAGTTTGGTTCTTCTGCCCCAAGAAAGAACAATTCAGCATCCGGTTCGACTTCTTCGGTATTGGCATAGATTTCTTGGAGAGATTTGAACCTTCTTGGTGTTTCATCACTTGAAGTACTCCCTGGAGATGATGTTTCTGGATGATCTTGCAAGTTAATGTCACTCCCTTGGGGTGTGAGTGGCTCTACTTCTAGTTCTTCATCTGAAAATTAGAAATTTCAGCTCCATTGATGGTGAAAGAGACTAAAGAATCTGATTTTTCAGATTCAGTTTGATCCCAAGGCCAGGATTTATTTTCTTCAAATATCACATCACGGCTTGATGGTCCCTGATAGAGGTAAAAGTCTAGAGGGGGGGGGGGTGAATAGACTTTTAAAGATTTTTCAACTTTAAAAACTTTCCCTTCTAGATGAGTTGATCTATAATCTTTTGAGAGATTAATAGATGCACAGTGGAAGTCTTTAACCTCTTTGTATAAACAGTGTAAAACAACTTTCTTTCTTGGGTGAAGTTTGGACTTTGACAGTGAGCAGTTGACTTGACAGTTGCCTGGATGACAGGGAACTGCTGAGGCAGCTGCTAGTGGAAAATAGGAGTTTGAGAAGGATGATTATATGGCCTTATGCAGAATGATGAGGGATTTGTGAAGGTGTATTGAGCTGGAGATAATAAGGGGTTTTGCTTAAGCAGATTTCTAAGCAGTTGGGTGGACCCACAGAACTGCTAAGGAAACTGCTGCATATAAAAGATGTATTTCTGAATACTGGCAAAACGAACCTTTTGGTAGTGATGTTACAGGGATCTTGTGAAACAGTTGTCTTAGGAAAAGTAAGTTTTTAAGCAGTAGGATAAACATTATAGTCAATTAAGACTACTGCTTAAGATGCTGCTGGCAAACTACGATCCCTTTAGTGAGAAGTGTTGGGTGTGTGCTTTGTTGACTGAATGTAAATCAACACATAGTATATCCTGGTTCAGAGGTGGTGTAATCCTCATACATCCAGTCTCACCCTATCTCAAATGGATTTCTACTAAAGTATTAAGCCCAATACATTTAGTGCCAATCTAGCCTTTTCAACACTTAGGCCTAGATTGAAGGTGTTTCACAGTGAGTATAGCACCACTCAAAGTTACCCAATCATTTAGACTTTTCTCAATTGATCCAGTGGGGATCAAAGGGTACTCTATCTATCTAACCACACTTTAGGATCCGAACAACTGTTCTCCTAAGTGTTTACAACACTTTATGATCCACACATTGTATGCTTATAGGATCTCTCTACTTTGAACTCAACAACTTAAATTCGGACTCATGCTTCAGCCTTTATTTATAGGCATCTCCATTAGATTAATATTATTCGTTGGTTGAGATTATTTAATCTTGTTCGTTGAATCTTGGTTTCAGAAGATAACCACTTGTTGCTTATCTTCTTCTTTGGAGCTGATAACTTCTTGTGTGCCTAGCCGCTGCATTTTTCTTCTTTAGACTTCAAGTTAACTGCACATCTCATACTGTACTTCTTTGCATTAAATGCTCTCCATGCTGAATGCTTTTGATTGGGTCCGGATAAACAAATAATGTAATAGATAACTTTTCTAATAAACTTTATACTGGTAGGATTTGAGTATCCTCTTAAGGTAAATGGTTTTACCTTATTGCATTTTTACTTTCCAGTATTGAATTTAGTAGTTCCAAAAGTTATACATTTATTTGTCCTCAATTATACCATATGTATAATTTGTGACTTTCATCTTTGTGATGAAGTAAAATGTTTGTGTAAATTAAATGTGTACCGGTAGGATTAAGATATCCTTTTAAGGTAAAAATTACCTTATTGCATTTTGACATTTCCGGTATATTTTTCTTGACACAAACATTTTACTTTAGATATTTGGTCACTCTTGGTTTATATGGCCCAGCAGGTATTTCGAACACACATTAAATATTTAACTGGTAGGATAACAAATCCTATTAAGGTAAAAATTATTACCTTATTGCATTTTGTGTTCCAGTTAAATAAGTTAGTTACACGAATTATTTTTGTGTTCATTTGATGTAACAAATATATTTAACTGGTAGGATCAAAGAGAAATCCTTTTAGGGTAATCGAATATTACCTTATTGCATTTTGTGTTCCAGTTAAATATATTTGTTAATTTACAATTGGAACAAGACACTTTTAGATACTATTTAGATGCCCACAAAAGTTAGTAGACATTTAAATGCTACAAAAGATGGGGGACACACAAAAACTGTGGCATCATCAAAACTGATATCAAAATCTAGGGGTCCAACACGGCTGATAACTATCTCTTTTTATACACCTTCTTGCCTGCATCTTTTCTACCCGAAAATTCTCCTACCATCTCCATCTTCTTCCTTTGTTCCAACATTAAAACGCTTCATCTTTGAGTTCGTTGATGTTCTTCGAAAACAATGAAAATGTTCTATATATCCTGGAAGACGATTGTTACTTGTGTTAATGGTAATTCGTGTTAAGGAGACAGCAATGGTTGCACTCCGTTCTATTTATATCTTTTTATTTAATTATTAATGCCGCATGCAGATTTATTGAATTTTGAATAACATCTCCTTCTTTAATTATAAAAATAAAACAATTACAAATGAACAATGTTGATTCACTAATGAAGCAAAGATTTAAACTTCAATTTCATATTTGTTGGTTTTATGGGAATCCAACACCACATGAATCAATCTTTATTTCGGAAATATAGAGTGATTTATTAAATGGAGAGTTTACACTCCTTATCAAAAATTGGTTTTAAAAAGGTTATGATTGTCATTTAACAATAGAACTTTATAGTTAAGTTAGACCAGAGGTTTCCACGAGTTTTGTTTTTTCAAATAATGTTAAATAAAAAAATATTACCAAATTAAGGTCGGGTTAAAAGTATTTTCCAAAATATTGTCAGGCTAAACCCCACTTAAGAGAACCACCACTTCAAATGGCGGCTTAGGAGAAAAACAACTAATGCACGTAACAACGCAGGCGCATAGGAGAAAATGAGCTAGGGGTCTCACCAAAATAAAATCTCACGTTTATTTTAAAGTGCTACAACTTTTTTATTTGTACTCTTATTGTTACAAAAAAATTTATCAAATTTCATAACTTTTTATTATCTTTCATATGATACCAATATCGAATATATAAAAATAAAAAAAATAATACTTCAAAAAATATCTGTTTTTTCATGTGTTATACGAAGTATCTTTTTATCTGCATTCTGATGGTTAGAAAAATATATATCAAAATTATAACTCTTTATTAGTTTTCCTATGATAGTATACCAATTTTGAATATATGAAATAAAATAAAAAAGAAATTCTATTAATTGTATAGTTTGTGATCGTTCTTTAACATATGCACACTATCACTTCGGCGTGATAGATTATAAAACTGCATAAGTTATAGCACAAAGAATAAAACAATAAATAAAAGTGATAGATTTTGTGTAGTTTTATTCTAAGCTATCACTTCCGATTAATTGTGGGCATGGTAAAAACGATCCTAAACTGGACAAATTAATAGAATAATTTTTTTTATTTTTATATATGCAACATTGGTGTCATATAAAAGATAATAAAAAATTGTGAGTTTTGATATATTTTGGTGTCACATGAAAGATAATAAAAATTTATGAATTATGATACTGCCTCCGTCCCAAATTAATTAGGATATCAATTCTTAATTAAATTTTAATTTAGACTTTGCAACTTGTTAAAGATTTTCATGAAGTTTCTAAATATGTAAATTTTATTTATTAAAATTGAATTATTTATCAATAAGGGTGATTTAACTTTAACATTAGTTGACCAAAAAAATTACTTTGCAAAATAAATTGGACGAAGGTAGTATATTTTTTGTAAAAATCAGAGTAAAAATAAAAAAGTTTTAGTATTTTAAAATAAACATGAGATTATATTTTGGTTGGTCTCCTCACTTGTTTTCTCCTTTTCCCTATGTTCTATGTTTTGTTTTTTTCCTAAGCCGACATTTGAAGTGGCGATTCTTTTAACTGGGATTTGCCCAATTCAACTCAAGAAATCCCTAT